ACCTATATAAACAAGACTATCTCGCAATCATATTTGTGACTTTACTTCCAAATAATTTTATTAATGACGAATTGAAACTACAATCTATCAGCTCTATGAAATATCTATGGAACATCTATGATTGCTCCATATGATATCTATGAACATATTTAATGGATGTCGAATGAAGGTATGTAATGCGGAACTGTGGATGTCTAGTAGACATTTATAGGAGATTACATAGACATCTAATAGAGGTTTCGAATCTCCATGATGGACATCCATCTAGTGGATATCCATTAGAGCTTTTTGTTCCGTATGGGGTAGTGTTAATAATAATCGCTACATAGGAAATACTGCATTATTTCTAGGAAATATATATATAATTTAAACTTGTAATTATAATTATAAAATAATACTAAAGAATTTACTTATTTGTCAAAAATTCTAACTCTTCTCTAACATGTTCCAATATTAATTATACCAAATCATTACTTAATTTAAATCGCATTATAAATTCAACGTTATCTAATGTTTCAAAATAATTAACTCACTGTTTAAATTTTTTTCTTCGTTCAAATTGTTCAATATTTTCATCATCAGAATTTGAGGACCACAAAGAATTAAATTACGCCATCATATCAACAAAATAATAATAATTATTCTTTACAATTATTTTAGACGTATCTATAACGTGTTAAACACTGTCAATGAGTGTTGAGTGTTGAGTTTTGACAAAATGATATCCAATAAAGGTTAGGATACATATTTGATGATATGATATATAGAAATAAAAATAGAGTATTGCTAGTAACATTTCTTAAAACCGGCGTTTAATTACTTTAAACAGTCGAGATCGACCGTTTAACTTAAACTCGGTTTACAGATATTTAAACGTCGTTAAATAATTGGTAGAAACCAATATTCAGGTTATGTTAAAATAACCGAATGTCAGTAGGGTTTAATTTATTAAACCACGTTGGTTGAAACGGCCTAAAAGATGTAATTTCTCGGAAAATGTTTTTAATTCGAGCTTTACAATACAGATAATAATTACTAGCCATTCAAAAACGTTGCGAGGAAGACAGACGTGTCCCGGCAATATGGCTTATAGCGTTTTCGAATAAACGGGGTTTGAACGATCTAGGGTTGATCAATCACTATTTTACTATAAATGCAAGTCTTTCATTGGTGGAGAGGTTGCAATGACGTCATTAACCAATCTTGGGTCGTTCAAATCCTGTATAATCGAAAACGCTATTAGGCTGGCGTCACATAGAACCCATAATCCGTAATCCGCACCGGAAGTCCGCAAAAGTTACTAGGGATTGCGTCCGTAACGTTACGTATGTTTTTTCTCCTTGTGTCCCATGGAGCCGTAAATACACACGTAACGGTATTACTATTTTTATTTAACAAATTATAATTGTTTATTTGTATTTTATTCATAAGAAAACTACAGAATATATTATAATTTTAACAAAAATTTTAATTAAATCGTCAAATTTAGTTAAATAAATAAAATTAAAAAAGCATTACTAGTAATAACTAGTAACTTTTAGTAACTTTTACGGAAATTTCATGGAATTACGGCTCCATGGGACACAAGGAGATAAAACACACGTAACGTTACGGACGCAATCCCTAGTAACTTTTGCGGACTTTCGGTGCGGATTACGGATTACGGGTTCTATGTGACGCCGGCCTTAGTTTACACCGATTGTTTGGTACACGTACCAAGTACTAAATCTGCTTCTCCGATAGGTATAAATCGTTTAGTGTAAAATCTACGCCAATCAAAGAAGCAGATTTAGTACTTGGTACGCGTACTAAACAATCGGTAAACTAAGCCTATAGCACTCTCTTTTATCCAGCTTCATTCCTTTCTCCAGGTTCTCTCCAGAGCTGCGTTTTGTTTCACGTATGATGCGCATAGACGCGCATAAGATTTATAGTTTACGTTACATACACTATATATTTTATGCACTTTTATTGCTGGATTCACACTAGGTCCAATTTTCAACATCTGATATCCAATAAGAAAGATTGTTTTATATAAAACAAGCTCTCCTATTGGATATCGGACATTGTACGTTGGAAATCGAACTTAGTGTGAATCCAGCATAAGCGCATCAGGGGTGAAACGCAGCCCAGTATGTTAAGCCAGCGGCACGTACGTTTTTGCTTATGGTTGGTTTATGCTTCGATCTTAATCTTAATCTTAGTTTTAGTCTTAACTTAATCTTAAGGACTCGTTTATGCTTCCCTGGAAATTCGGACTACGCATGTGCAAATGTAACAAAACCTAACCATTAATTTATTTTTATAATTTGGATTTTTTTTATTCCAAACAACATCGAATTGTTGGACACATTCAATTAAATCAGCATCACTCATTTTTGTATTTTACAAGAATCGAAAACCATTATTTCGCGCGGTTTCGTGCTGCGTCGGACGTCAGACTTACCTCATTGGCTCGGCCTTAGGACATTAGGGACTAAAGTTAAAAGATGGGATCTTTCCAAGATTAAGATTATTGGCCGGAGCACAGACTTTTGCATAAAGCATAACGCATAAGCATAAGGAAATTGATTGGTCCATTTCCTTAT